CCACCAGCTCCTGCCCCAGCACTACCCCAGCCCCAGCAGGGCCTGCAGACGGTGAACTTCCTGAGGACGGAACTACGGCTAAAGAGGCTCTAGGATCTCTAGATTTCACACACGTCTAAGAAGCACAATATAGGAAAATGAATGTACTACATCTGTGTCAAAGAAAAATGGCAGAACGGACAAGAACAGTGGTCAGTCACTTTCAGGTGGAATTGGTGACTGGACAGCTAGAAGGAAATGTTGGAGAGATAAATGTGGCGTGGCAACAAAGGAGAAAAAAGGCACACTGGAAGTTGTCAGAAGATAAATTAAGCTAGCCAAGCAAATAAACATCACTCTGGGTTACAGAACTAAAAAACACAAACAACAAGAGACAGCGCCAATGACACAGATATAAAATACATCAACGCAGAACTGACAGCAGAGGAAGGTTTCTGGAGGTCTGACCAAAAAGCTGGGAAGTGCCCAGTCATGCACGCACTGAAGGACACGATAATCAGCGGCATCGGAGACAGCCAAGATAAACAAGGACAAACAAAATAAAGGCAGGAAGAGAGCGAGGGACCACAAGGAGCAGGTGATCAGTGATCCTAGGAGAAGAGACTGCAGAACATCCAATGCACATCGTTAAACGGGCTGAGGGCTGGTGGCCTCTGGGAAGGGAATTGCTGATGGAAGGACAGTGCACATGGACCACAGCAGAAATTATCTATTCCTAAAATCATACAACATAAATCAGCAAAAAAAGGTAACATATTTTGCAGGCTTGGCCTCATCTTACAGAGGAGGCGTAATCCTTTCATATATTTAGAACGGCTCATACGGATCAGAGAAACACTGACTTTTGTTGTATCATAGGTCACAAAAACAGGCAAGCTTGCATTCAAATTTTCCCTTTGCGAATGTTTCCCTCCCCCATCGCTATCAAATGTAAACATGCCGTTAAACCACTGATGTGAATTTGGAAATTTACATTCTGAGAGATGAAAAATAGCCAAATGGTAATATTAAATACTACATACCTAAATGTGAAAGTGATCCAAAGCTGCAAGTGACCATCGCTACTATTCCGCTCCCAGAACTTCCCTCTTATTAGGACAAACTTTCTCTGACCTCATTCTGTCTGCAGTATGTTACCCACTACAGAAAGCTCTTTGCAAAGTACAGATACAGAAATCCTGGGATCCGCAGAGTTTGCTGCCCCTCTGCATGCTTTCCCATTGAAAGCAGAGGATGAGGAGGGTGAAAAAGATAAAGGCTCCCTGAGATGCGCGCCGGGAGAGCAGCGTTTGAGGAGGGCTGCTTTGGTTTGTTTGCTTTTCAATTTTGCAGTTCATAAAAAAGCAAGCTCAGGCATTAAAATCCTGCTCTTTCAGCTCAGCCTTCTTCCCAACAAAGCAGCTGTCACACTGAGATTGTTTCCATGAAATAACAAAAGGACATTTCTGTTTCCATTCTGCCATGGTGACATCTGCCACAAGTGGATTAAAACTCTAATGACGCAGTTTTTCACTAATAATTTAGTACTAATCACAATTACGACTAAACTCGTATTAAGAATATTAGTAGGAAGCACAGGAAAAAGGTTTTTAGAACTATATACATACATTTATCAGCATGTACTTCCACTGAGCACATTAAAATTCAGCTCAGAATGGCACTCAGCTTGCACCAAGCAGTCTCAGTGCCCCGATGTGCTCACTTCATGCTGCCAAGATGTGACAGTGTCTGCAGCTGGAGAAACGAGACCCTGAATTCAGTCGGTGATGTAGTTTCACATCAGGGATTAATCTAAACAACAGGAACTGTAATAAATCCTAGGGAAAACATTCACAGAATCACGAAGGTTGGAAAAGACCTCCAAGATCATCAAGTCCAACCGCCAACTCATCACCACCATGCCCACACTGGAATCAGACATATGTGAACTACAGAACAGAAATAGAAGAAATTTCCAAAGGGAAAAAAACATTCATCCTGCCTTCGCTCGCTCTGTTACTAACTGCAAACACCTGCACACGTTCCAGGTTGAAAGAAAAGGAGAATACAAAGATAACACAGAGACGCGCTTCACGTCCCTGACTAAGCAGATGATAAAGGAATGGATGCTCCAATGTGCTCTATGGTTCACCCAGTGCTTTGGAACTCCCAAATACTCAGAAGGATTATACCATATATGGGTGGGCATATGCTGAGATGAGCATGGAGTCTTTTTCAAGCTGAGGCAAGAGCCAAGTGTTTCAGCTGTGACGCTGAGGCCCCCAGATCTGCAGCCATCTAGTTTAACTGGCTGCATGCCGAGGTTATGCAGAAGCCTTGCAGAGATGGAAATGGTTTGGATACAATTCAGATACAGTCTGAATTGGCTTCCACTGATCATTCCTCATAGATCCTCATCTGAACAACCAGAGAAGCTCTGGTGAAGACCTTTTATCCTCATTATGTGATGTGATGACAACCAACCCAACCCTGATTAGACTCAGACAGGTGTACACAGCCACCACAATTTTGCAAAGAACAAAGGCACATCAGAGGATGAATGTCAATACCTGGTGTGAGATGGGTTTTGGTCCCACTGCAAGTCTCACGTAGATCCCCAGGGGCTGTGGAGTGGTTATGGAGCAGTGTGCTGCGGGCCTGAAAAGCTGAAATGATGGAGGCAAGCATTGCTATGGCCTTTTCCCCCAGGTTTAGGAAAAGATAAATACCCCCACTCATTCTTTGGAATAAATAAGTACTAGGAGAAGTCTCTTCCCATGGACTCCTGCAGAACCTGCTAGATGAAGTAACCCATAATTCTGAAAGTGAGAATCCTTGAAGAAGGGTGAGATGGTAGAAAGGAAGGTATTAAAATAGCTGTGGCAATCACAGAAGATGGCAGCTACCGAATATTTGCTGCCTGTGAGCTCTCACAATGCCTGACAGAAGATGATGCTTGAAAATAAGATGACTGATGGTTTTCTCACCATTGCCTCTGGACTGGCATAATGCCCTTCCGCGCTTCAGCAAATGTCTTGCCTCTCAGAAAGAGCAAGCTGTGGACAAAGGATGACAGTAACCATCATTCCATGGAATCTGGGAGTTTTTGGTGTTTGTTCCCATCTCTTTTCTTAGCCTTTCCTGGGCATGGGATACGTAAAGGGTATGTGCTATAGAGGTCATCATCTTGGAAGGTCTCAGTGCAACCATTGAATCACAGAGGGATTTTTATCCATTATCCAAAGCTCCATACCTTTCAATGGGAAGTCAGCTACAGTTACTTGTGTGTTTTTCAAAATGCCAACTGTGTTCAATCAACCAGTCTGTTGTAATAACAGCCAGAACTGTGCCAAGGACCTGTCCCAGTAGCTATTACCTACTGGCCGTGTTTTTATTAACATCTACCTTGGTACCTCACTCACTGTGCTACATACATTCAAGGCCCAAGTCAGCAAATAACCAATCCTCATGAGGAACACTTTAAGCAAGTCCTGTGGTTGGCGATGGCAGGGTGTGTAGAGGCAGATGACATGCTGTCTGTGTTCAAACCGCTCTGATTCTCAGTTTTAATTTTTGAATTATCTTGGTCTACCTGACCTTGGACAGCAGGCAGCAACAGAGACCTTGCTCCTTTATAACAACAAAAATGTCCAAAGCTGAAGTGTGTCAGAGCCGATGATTCTATCATGTCAGAGACCCACAGGACCAAAAAGGTTGGAAAAGGCCTCCAAGATCACCAAGTCAAACTGCCAGCCCATCCCCACCACGCTCACTGACCCATGCCCCCAATTGCCACATCTCCACAGTTCTTGAACATCTCCAGGGTTGCACAGGAACAAATCATTAATGGGACTGCAGGCTTCCGTGAGAAGAAATGGCATCTGCTGTGCCCACAGACCAGCACAGAAAACAGCCATGTACAGGGAAGACGTGAAGCCCAAACAGAGCCTAAATGCAAGCACTGAAGGCCTTGACCAGGAGGTTGCTTGCAACCCAGTAAGTGATACAGTGTCATGGGTTGTGTTGTTGAAAGACAGCCTACACTAATATTCAGACTCAGTCTCTTCGCTTCTAATTCAGCAAAAAGCAAATTTCAAGTCACAGAACGTACCACACACTGTATGGAGTTTGTAGTCACCCAACTGAGGGACTCAAGACAGTTTTGGAATTTTAACACAGCCACTTCAAAACTGCACATACAACTCACTTCATTTGTCTTGGAAACTGGAAGGAAATTATGTGGATCTGTGCTTAAGCCTTCTTGGGAGACTGCTGCTGAAAGTGAGGGGTTTGGCTTGCCTCTTCTGTGCCATTTTGTCACTGAAATGTGAGAATATTTTTTTCCAGTTTTGTTTCTCATTCCCTGAAGGGAACATTTATTCATTTACAGCTTTGGGCCAGTGAAGTCTTCAGCAGAACACCTTGCTATTTTCCCCTAACTTGACAAGAAACAAAAGTGCAAATCCATGATTCAACGTTCTTGCATGTTTACAAGTGAGCATTCATGCAATAATTTACATACATAAAAATAAGTATAACCCAACTTCAGCTCTACCTAAATGCTTTCAGTAGATAAGGACAACTCAAAAGAACTTGGGTCGGTGCAGAGAATATGTGTTAACAAAGGTAATAAAGTAAACTTATTATGTGAAATGTCTCAAGCACAATTACTCTACTTTGTGAGCAGTGCAGCCTATGATACAAGACCAGTCCTTCTCAGAACAGCTTTGAAAGTAATGCTCTATTTAATAACAACAACAAAAATTTCTTTAGCAATGTTTGGATATTTCTTCAGTCACGCTCATGTAATGGCATCTATTTCAATACAAGAAAATCACTCCTTAGAGGGAAAAAAAAAGCAGCGTTGCAAACAATTCCTTCTTTAATGGATGCTGTACACACACTTTGAAGTAGAAGTGTTATTGAAAACACATTAGAAGAGCTCCAGTGGTACAAAATCCATGCTCTGTGTTTTTCACCTCTCGGAGAAGCCAACGATAAATGCTGCAGGGTACACCTACCTCTTTGTTGGTGTCGGTGCTCCGGAGGACATGTGGGTCACCATGGCGTCATTCATGTTAGTCAGAGGTCGAGGGGGACTGCAATAGAAAGAGCAACTTGTTCCAGTTAGTGATTAAAAGAAATAAATTAGAAAACAAAACCAATAGCAAGAAAAAGGGCATCAGCGTTTTCAGTGACACTGTTCAGGCAAAGAGCAGCAGGGTTTGCTTTGCACAAAGGTACTTAAAGACCTTGGTCTGCTCTTCTCTAATTAGTTTTTGGGATTTCTGCACTGCTTGAAAATGAAGGTGAAACATTTGTGATTACATCACTGATCTTTGGCACTGTCCAATTCTTCAAAGAGATGTAGGAGGACATTCAAGCTAGGGGAAATATCCAAAATGCCTACAGAGGTGAGGCACTGACTTGTTGCAATAAACCTTCATTCTAACAATGACTGCGCACACCTCCTGGTTGGGTTTTATTTCTAGTGAGTTAAATCCAAGCTAGATGGAGAAATCATGGAATCACTCAGGTTGGAAAAGACGTTTCAGATCCCCAAGTCCAACCCCAACCCACCCCACCGTGCCCACTGCCCACGTCCCTCAGTGCCACATCCCCATGGATCTGGAACACCTCCAGGTTTGGTGACCCCACCACCTCCTGGGCAGCTGTGCCCCTGCAGCACTGCTCTTCATGAGAACAAGTCTTCCCTAACATCCAGGCTGAGCCTTCCCTGGAGCAACACAGAGCCATTACCACTTGTCCTAAATCCAACAGTTGTTTAACTATCCATTAGTAATGCCTGAGCTCGGGCCACTGTTTTAGTAGGGATGGAATGAATAGGGATTACTGCATGAGAGCTGTGACTTTTTTTTTTTTTTTTTTTTTTGCTGTTTTCTTCAGATTGCATTTATTGTACTTACGTACACACAAACAACAGAAATGGAGCCTTGAATACCTTTGCTAACCTTATAGCTGAGTTTTGTTCTATAACCTGGACAGTCCTACACTACTATGATTTGTAAGGGTACTGTGAGCCCTTCTGGTACTGCTCAGGGCCCCCCTTGCAGCCAGGCTGTACTTCTTTATGGAGAGAGAATTACAGAGAATTACAATGAAAACACAGCCAACCCAGCCAGGCAGGCACAAACCACAGGTACATATTAGATGCACAAAAATGTAAAAACACTGATATTAACTCATTTTATACTACAGAGAGTGGTTGACCTCCGCCTATTATTATCCCATTTTACAGGCATGCTGACAGAAATTTAAAGGGACTTAAAAATCAACAGTTTTGTGGCTACCTACCTACATATATTTATGTAGGCAAAGGTTAACATAAAGCATTTCTAGGAGCACAGCCAGCAGACGCTGTGGTCAAGTTCGTGATCCAAGAGAAATTTGCACGAGGTTAAACAGAGAGCTTGTAACAAAGGAGTAATGCCTGAATCCATATGGAAACCCAGTTCAGTTTACTAATTAAAACAAAACACCACCGTACGTAATAAATAAGAACTGAGCATCCTGAGTTGGAAGGCACCCACAAGGACCAACTCCAATTCCCGACGTACAGTTGTACATAGCTGTAAAAATAAAACCATCCCAGCTGGCATGTGAGTCCTTCCACTTCCCTCTATAAGGCATCAGCTGGAAAAAGCAGTAAAACAAGACAGATTCCTTTTGCTGGGAACTGTATTATTTCTCATACGGCAGGCTAGGAAAGGACATCATCATAACTCATTACAACAAACAAGTGTTAACTCTGTTTTCTTAATTCTTCCTATGCTACTTCACACTCTTTTTTTCTTTTCCAGATAAGAAAGACATTGAGTATAAAATGCAATTTGATTTAATGATATTCCTACTTTCTATTGCATGAGGTATCCACAGAAGCAAAGAAATAGCATTTCTTTGCTTAACAGCCATCAGAAGTCCTCTGGGACATTTCCACGAATAGCTCTGTGCAAACTAATCTCTTTCTATTACAATCTATCAGGAAGGATTCAAAGCAAAACCAGCGTGACTTGCTTTCCTCATATCTCATTCTTGGAAGAACTGTGTCACTACATTATGATAACAGCACAATAATGCACCCACTCAGCTTTGTTTCTCAGGGAAGACCAAAGAGAATCTCCAAAGAACAGACATGGCTGAGGTTACCTCCAGCAGGCACAACCCCAGCTCCCCATAAACACCACTGCTGTGATGGTTGAAGTGACACAAGCAAGGTTGTGCCCCCACTACAGATTTCTTCTTTCCCACTGCTGCAGCTTTTGCTTCACTTGCACATGTTGGTCACCTGCACATCACGCTCTAATTGTCCAGTTTACCATGCTAACAAGGGGCCAGGCTACATTTCAACAGAACCATAGAACCATTCAGGTTGGAAAAGACCTCTGAGATCCCCAAGTCCAACCCCAGCCCACCCCACTGTGCCCACTGTGTCCCTCAGTGCCACATCCCCATGGTTCTGGAACACCTCCAGGTTTGGTGACCCCCCACCACCTCCCTGGGCAGCTGTGCCACTGCAGCACTGCTCTTCCAGAGAAGAAAAGTTTCCTAATATCCAATTCTGCATCAACCCTTTCCCACCATGCCCTCTCATAGAATCAATGAGGTTGGAAACGACCTCTAAGATCACTGATAATTGATGATAATTCAAAAGCCAAAGGAGGACATATTCTTCCAGACTAGTGTATAAAGTAAGATTGTTGGCTAGTGTTCCTAGTTGACTGAAAACTCAACCAAGCAGTAGGAAAGAAGACAGGAACACAAACTGGCATTTGCCTGCAAATCTTCCATCTGTATGGAACTTCTGCTGCAAAGCTGGTTGTGTTCAATGCAGCAAGGACAGCGGGCTGCAGGAGAGCTGGATGCCTCCCCAGCAGGCACCATGCCAGGCACTGCAATGGGACAGGAGGGACAGCAAACAGATCACTCTGCTCGCTCCAGAAACCATCACCAGATCTCAGCAAACTGAATGGAAGAGCGGGGGGGGGGGCGGAACACAAAAGGAGCATCCTTCATCAGTGAGAGAGCATCAAGCAATTTTACTATAGACACAGCATTCTGTACAGATGTCATGAGCAATGCAACCGATATCCTTCCCTGTCCTACTGCAAATTCTCCAGCAATTAAAATAAAAACGCAAGTTGCCAAAGATGCAAAACATGGCCCCAAGCACATGGAAACTAACTGTATATGCAGCACTGTGGTCTGATCTAGAGCTCATTCCTTTATCTTCGTTTAATTCTTTGGTCTAACAGCTCTATGGCTTTTCATCACAAACCTGTTTGAGGAAGCAAGTTTGCTGACGATACCAAATTGTGTGGAGTGGCAGATACACCAGAGAACTGCGTTGCCATTCAGAGACCTTGACAGGCTAGAGAGATGGACAAAGAACATCATGAAGTCCAACGAGGGCAAGTGTCGAGTCCTGCATCTTGGGGAGGAATAACTGCACCCATCAGTACAGGTTAACCTGCTGGAAAAAAGCTCTACAGAGAAGGACCTGGGTGCTCTGCTTGACCAATGGCTGATCAGAGGCTGACCAGGGGATGAACAAAAGTTGACCAAAGGTTGGCCATGAGCCAGCAGTGTGTCCTTATGGCCAAGCAGGCCAATGGGACCCTGGGGTGCATTGTGTAGAGCGTGGCCAGAGAGGTGAGAAAGGGATCCTCCCTCTCCTCTGTCCTGGGGAGGCCAATTCTGGAGCACCCAGTGCTGGTCCCTTCAATTCTATGATTCTGTATGAATCTGTGAGAGTGGTTCCAGATTCCTTCCTTAGACACTGTCTTACTAAACCTCTCTGCGCCTGAAGAATGCAACAATTACCTGAGAAACTTCTGGAAATTAATTGTGCCAGGCCTGTGCTTGTTTCACAGTCTGTCAGCCAGGACATCAGTGGGTCACATCACATCTGAGCACCTGATGGGAGAAATTTTCTCTCCAGCATTCCCATTACTGAGCATATTTGTTCTTCTATCTAAGAGGACAATTCTTTTAGTATTATTTGCTATGTAAAGTTTTATCCTCTAATTACTCAGTAAGAAGGAAGAAATGAAAGAATGACTTCTTTTGAACCATGTATTATATGCTGCAAAGACCATAAAAAAGGCCTGTTATTTATTATTCAAATCCAAATAATGATCTCTTGCTGCCTTCTGACTGCCTGCGTGCTTGGCCAAGTAGAATATAAGATCGATACGACCAACTCAATAGCAAGCACTGAAGGCAGGCCAGTGAAGAAAGGGAAAACCTATTTAAAGATGCAATAGCTGGTAACGACAAGTGAAACCTCACAACAGAAAGCAAGGAAGAAAAACAGGAACAACTAAAAGCTGGAAAACATGTTTTCAACAGAATATCTCCAAATCTCCTACTTGAAGACAAATTTGTGGTGGTTTGACGGCATCCTATGCATAAATTTGATTTATCTGTAATAAAACCAAGCAGCAGTGCTCAAGCACAGATATATCAAAATCCAAGGGACAGACAGCAAAATGAACAAATCCTGCTTGGAAGTACCCTTGCAAATTTTAAGTAATGAGGGCAATAAAGCACACAAACCAATCTCACGACTGCGGCAAGTTCTTCCTGCTGGAAACATCAGTGCTCTGTACAAAATGCACCATTTCTTGTATTTTCTACTTTGCACAGGAAATAATTCAGAGAAATCTTCCCATCTCGGTTGTATTTGTGGTTCTGGTTAGAGGACTGTGATGACTCATTGGGAAGTCACAAACTCTGAATTAGCAAATAATTGCAGTAGCATCTGTGCGTTTGTTTTCGGCTCTTTTGCCCCAAAATGTGAGGGGTAAAACTTCACAGCAGGATAAGTTTTGGAAACTTTTGGTTGTTGTATATTCATACGTGATTTCTTACAACGCTCGAAGACAAATCTATCACCCATAAGAAAAAGTTTGAAAGAGCTGCTCTGAGAACCAGGATATTTAAAACAATCCCACAGTGAGAAAACGTTAAAAAGAGTTGAACTGTTCTGTTCCTCTTCTGGAAGTCCTTCAGATTAGATTTCTTCAATTTCAAGTGAAAAGGACAAAGTGAGGGCAACGGCTGCATCAAGATAAAGGGA